ATATTTATGTTCTAATTTCCTAATCTTCACAGCACCCACAAGTGCCGAGCAGGTGCTGAGCAGGTGCTGAGTAGGTGCTGGGCAGGTGTTGAGGTGCTGAGTAGGTGTTGAGGTGCTTGGCAGGTGCTGAGGTGCCAGGGTGCTGGGTGCCAGCACTTACCCCCTTGCATGTATTATTCATCGTAGTCTCAATGATGTTTTGACTGCACAGAAAGGCATTTTCCGTAAAATACTTGCGTTGACAAAGTTATGAATCGATTTTACTTCAAAATCGCTGCGAACAACAATGAATTAATTAAAATCATGAAAAATTAATAACGAAATAGTTGAGAGAGTAAATACTGAAATTTGCATGACGAGGAATATTGTTTCGCTGATTTTCAACTTCAGCTTATTTTAATCAGTTCAAAAATCCCAACTGAATGATTTCTCGGACCTACATCGAATTGAATTTAAACAACTTAATTGCCTGAATTTTATTATCAAAAAATACAGGCGCAAGAGTTGTTGAGCTGATATTTTAGCAACACAACAGATTATTCTGTAAAACATAATCCAAATGAACTAATTTTCATCACTAGAGACTCGGACAGATACTCTTTTCATGTTCGATACAAGAACCCAAGAACATTCATAACTCCAGGGGTGGGTGTGGGTGTGGGTGTGAAGTATCGAACACCCACACCACACCCTCAACATGAGCCACGTCGGCGAAATAAAAATCTGCATTCATTTTAATTTAATTTTAAATTTTAACCACGATTATATTTAGAAATTATTCAATATTTTATTTATTTTCGACTTCAGTCAGTTGCTGAAAAGCAAGAGTTGAGATGATCACATTGATTTGACGTTTCGTGCAGAGATAGATCGATCAGTTTTGGAATTGATTTAAGCACACCACACCCTCGATCAATTCTATTAGTACTGGCCACTTGCTAAGATTCTCGATAAAATCAAAATACTTACTAAGTATCGTTGTAATCTTACACACCCTCGCCGTCAAAGGAGGATAACTATCCTTTCAAGCAATCTCATCTATTAATTATTTCATCGTGTATAGATTAAGTAGCTTATTTGTGACTCTCACAATCGTCCAACACAGTTATAAAAGTCCAAACCAACTGATGGTACCCTTCGCAACGCAGAAATTTGGAACTTCATCTGTCCGATACACCCCACCCTTTTTTCAAAAAAGATTCCGATCATCCAAACAAGAAAACAGCAGAGTCAACAGCATCTGATAAGACCATTTAGCAAGGGCGAAACCTCGATTATGCTATACTTGACCAAAACGAAACTAATCCGAAAAAAAAGCGTCAACAGTCGTATCAAAACTGTCCATCGCACACGCACATGTGTGAGATTTTCCACCTGTTTTGCTCACTTCGAAGCAAACTTTGCGAGTCGGTGTGATCATCGAACATGACATACCAAAGGAACATTCCTGCGGAGACTTGTCTTCAACTCTTTCGCTCCCCTCGAAGGAAATGCTACAACTCCGTCCGCTCGTCGAACATCACATGCCAAAGGAACATTCCTTACGAGACTTCTGTTCACCTTTTCCGCTCACTTCGAAGGACACGTTGCGACACGGCGAGATCATCAAACATCACAAGGCAAAGAAGCATTCATCAATAGGCTTCTGTTCATCCCTTTTCCTCACTCCGAAAACAAAGATTGCCAATCTCGCAGCTCATCGAAGATCAAATGGCAAACGAACATTCGTGAAAAGACTTTTATTCACCCGTTTTGCTCCCTTCGAAGCAAAAGTTGTGAATCGGTCAACTCATCCAGCCTTACATGGCTAAGGAACGTTCATCATAACACTCATGTTCATCTCTTTCGCTCATTTCGAAGCAAATGTTGCGACTCAGTCAGCTCATCGAACATCACATCGCAAAGGAACATACTTGACCAGACGTTTGTTCACCTCTTTTGTTCACTTCATAGGAAACGCTGCAACTCGGTCAGCTCATCGAACATCACATCGTAAAGGAAGATTCATCATAAGACTTATGTTCACCACTTTCGCTCTCTTCGAAGCAAACGCTGCCACTCGGTCATCTCAACGAACATCACACGGCAAGCGAATAATCCTGAGTACACTTCTGTACACGTCTTTTCTTCACTTCAGAGCAACTGTTCAGACTCGCTCATCTCAACCAACATCACATGGCAAAGGAACATTCATCATCATACTACTGTTCAAGTCATGTACTCCCTTCGAACCAAATGCTGCGACCCAGTCGGCTCATCGAGCATCACATGGACAGCGAGCATTTATCATAAGACTTCCGCTCACCACTTTTGCTCACTTCGAAGAAAACGTTGTCACTCGGCGAACCCATCGAACATCACATGCCAAAGGAACAATCCGTACCATAATTCTGTTCACCTGTTTTCCTCACTTCGAAACAACCGTTGAAACTCGGTCAACTAATCGAATATTACATCGGAAAGGAACATTACGTACCATATTCCTGTTCACCTCTTTTCCTCACCGCGAAACAACCGTTGCAACTCAGTCACCTCATCCAGCATCACATGGCAAAAGAATATTCCGTACCATTCTTCTATTCACCTTTATCCCTGACTTGGAAACAAACGTTGCGACGTGATCACGTGATCAAATATCACATGCTAAAGGAACATACCTGAAGAAACTTCTCCTCACCCCTTTTGCTCACCTCGACGCAAACATTCCGATTCGGTCAGCTGGTGAAACAGCATATGGCAAAAGAACATTGCTGAGCACACTTCTGTTCACGTCTTTTCCTCACTGCAAAGCAAGCGTTGCCAGTTGATCAGCTCATCGAATATCACATGACAAACGAACATTCCTGAACACACTTCTGTTGACATCTTTTACTCACGTGGAAGCAAACGTTGCGACTCGGTCAGCTCATCGAACATCACATGGGATACGAACATCCATGAGCACACTTCTGTTCACGTCCTTTGCTCACTTCGCAGGAAATGTTGCGACTTGGTCAGCTGATCGAACATCACATGCCAAAGGAGCATTCCTTACGAGACTTCCGTCGCCCACTTTTGTTCACTTCGAGGTAAGCGTTGCGACTCGGTCAGCTGATCGAACATCACATGCCAAAGGACCATTCATTAGGAGACCTTTGTTCACCTCTTTTGCTCACTTCGAAAGAAACGTTGCGACTCGTTCAGCTCGTCGAACATCACATGGCAAAGGTACATTTCGTACCATAAATCTGCTCACCACTTTTCCTTACTACGAAGCAAACGTTGCGACTCGGTCAGCTCATCGAACATCACATGGCAAAGGAACATTCATGATAAGACTTCTGTTCACCTGTTTTGCTCACTTCGAAGCAAACGTTGCGACTCGGTCAGCTCATCGAACATCACATGGCAAAGGAACATTCATGATAAGACTTCGGTTCACCTGTTTTGATAGCTTCGAAGGAAACGTTGCGATTCGGTCAGCTCATTGAACATCATATGACAAAGAATCATTACTTACGAGAGTTCTGTTCGTCTCTTTTCTTGACTTCGTCGCAGACGTTGCGACTTGATAAGTTCGTCGAACAGCACGTGGCAAGGAACTGTCATTATCATACTTCTGTTCGCCTCTTTTTCTCACTTGGAGGCAAACATTGAAACTCGATCAGGTCATCGAGCATCACCTGGCAAAGGAACATTCCTTAGGAGACTTTTGTTCACCTCTTTTGCTCATTTCGAAGGATACGTGGCGACCCGTTCAGCTGACCGAGCATCATATGGCAACGATAGATTCCGTACCATACTTCTGTTCACCTCTTTTTCTTACTTCGAAGCAAATGTTGCGACTCGGTCAGCTCATCGAACGTCACACGGAAAGGAAGATTACTTACGAGACTTCTGTTCACATATTTTGCTCACTTCGAAGGAAACATTGCGACTCGGTCAGGTCGCCGAACCTCAAAGTGGAAGCGAAGAGTCCTGAGCACACTTCTGTTCACGTCTTTTGTCCACTTCGAAGCAACTGATACGACTCTGTCAGCTCATCGAACATAACATGGGAAAGGAACATTCTTCATCATAGTTCTGTTCACCTCTGTTGCTCGCTTCGAAACAAAGGTTACGACTCAGCTAGCTCATCGAACATCACATGACAAACGAACATTCCTGAGCACACTTGTGTTCACGTCTTTTTCTCACTTCGAAGCAAACGTTGCGACTCGGTCAGCTCATCGAACATCACATGGTAAGCAAACTTTGCTCATTATACTGTTTGTTCACCTCTTTTGCTCACGTGGAAGGAAACGTTGCCACTCGGTCTGCACATCGGACATTACATGACAAGGAAGATTCATCATAAGACGTCTGTTCGACTCTTTTGCTCATTTTGATGGAAACGTTGCGACGCGGTCAGCTCATCGAACAACAGATGGCAAAGAAACAATCACCATAAAACTTATGTTCACCTCTTTTGCGGACTTCGAAGCAAACGTTGCGACTTGGTCAACTCATCAAAGATCTCATGTGAAAGGCGCCTTCCGTACCATACATCTGTTCACCTCTTTTGTTCACTTTGAAGCAAACGTTGCGAGTTGGTGAGCTCATCGAACATCAGATGGCAAAGGAACATTCCTGACGAGGCTTCTGTTCACCTGTTTTGTTCACTTCGTAGGAAACGTTGCGACTCGGTCAGCTGATCGAACATCACATGGCAAAGATTTTGTAGTGAGTTGTTCAGTTATTACGCTGCACTGCAGATAACATCCGTTTTCTAGGAACCGAATAGGATGTGTCCGGATTTGTCACTATATGATACCCTTTAAGGGTTTTTGTGAAATGGTTTCCGAGCATTCGAAAACTTATCTGAAACCCTTACAAGCAATCAAGGAAGTTGACGG